TCGATCAACACAAAATCGATGTATAGTTTACAAGGGGATATAACTACTACACTTGGAACATGTTTGTTAAAAAAGTTTCCTTGTGAGTAATCCAAACTTAAAAAGTCCCTTCATAATAAATTTATTTACAGGTGTGTAGGCTTAAAATAATTATTTTTTATTTGATAAAAAATAAAAATAAGTACGATACTTATTTTTAACCGAGATAAGAATTGCTTAAATTTAAATAACTAAGCTCAGCATGTTTTCAACCTTAGCCAAACATGCTTATCCACCACCAAAGGAAAAAAAAAAAAATTAATAATAATAATAAAAATAAATTGTTATTTTGAGATAAGAACTTAAGTTTCAGCGCAAACATGTAGATATGATAAAACTTCTCTATAGTCAATAACGCTTGACTCATTACTCTGAATAGGTTATAACTCAAATGTGTTGTTAAAATAATAATAATAATAATAAAATAAAAAAATAAAAAATATTATGATCATCTGTTCAATTATAAATTTTTCAATAAAATAATATTATACGCAAAACTAAAACATTTTCTTAATTCTCAACCACACATTCTTCACTAATTAACTATTTCAAAATACATTCATACTTAGAAATAGGAAACAAATGGGGGCATAGTTTCAAAAAACGATATATGTCAGTGATGAGAATATGCAAAGTCATTTTAAAAGTTTAAGATTTTCCATTAATTTTTTTTTTCCTCTTGCTGTAAATTCTAATTAACATTGTGTACACACAATCCATGCATGTGTTTTTTGCAATATAGAGATAATTATTATGTGTGGGCAAGTATTTTAAGATTGACCTAAAATATTATAACTTATTAGAATTTGGATTTTATTCTTATTTATAGTTTACCTAAGTTAGGATCAAATTTATTTTATTTTTTAATTTCTATATTCCTACAAGGAGTATCACTGTTGAGATATCTCATGTATTTTAAATTTTAAAATCTAGATATTTGATAAAAGGGCAAATTTCATTGCAATGACTAAATTTTTATCGAAATTTCAATTGATTTATTAAACTTTATTTGTAATAGTTGGGCCACTAATCAACACCCCCCCCCCCCCCCCCAAAAAAAAAAAAAAAAAAAAAAATTGGTTTCAAATTTCACCACTGACGTCTCCCAAATTAATGAAAATGACTTAATTGGCAGTTATACTATAATAGATCTTCGATATAATAACGTAACATCTCAATTTAAACTACTTTTGAGATTTGAACTTCATGATGCCAAATCCATATGTTCATGTCGATACTATTATTCATAGTTCAAAGTCGAATTGTCGTGCAATATTTTATATCCATCTTGACTTTTTTTTATATAAAGTTGCATCTTTTCAAAATTATATTATCACTAGTGAACTTTACTATGACTTTTATCTAGATTCCTCTCCTCGATGCAAACACAATTTGAAGTGATTCGAAAATAGGATGAGTTCCATTAGGTTAAGAAGAGATCCCAAAACTGTTGTCTGGAATCTTTAGCATTGAGGATTAAACGCTAGCGAAGAAGTTCAAGAAATCATCTTAGTATGTGGGTAAAATAGAGCTCGCAGGCACTGCAGTAAAAAATGAAATATCTAAATTGCTAGCAATTAAGATACTCAATTTTTTTGGCTTATTGTAATATTTCCTTAATTTTAATTTTTTTTTTTTGTTGAATTCTTACTTTCGACCTTCCATTAATAGATTTTCTCCTTGATGATAATTTTTTTTTTTTGTTGAATTCTTACTTTCGACCTTCCATTAATAGATTTTCTCCTTGATGATAATTTTTTTTTTTTAAAGAAAATCCTATTAGCATGTTTTGAAATTAAAAAGAAAAAAAGAAAAGATATTTCACTTTTCCATTTTTTTCAAAAATAAATTTGATACACGAATAAGTCGTTCTATGCAATTCGAACAGAGTTTAGGATGATAACATTTATTAGAGTTGAGATGTGACAATTAATGGAACGTTGGGGATAATAATGTATCGAAAATGTTATGGGCTTAACTGCTATAAGGAGCAAATATTACAAACCTCAAGTAAAATTGAAATGCGGTCCAACTAATAAAATATGTAATTTGAATATGATTACCCTATTTTTAATAGATAAAATATTTTGTTGTAATTATATAATCGGCCGCGAATGTCCTTGGTTTTTAAGGTTTCTCGACCTCTTTTTCATTCTTTCTTTTGACTTCTCGTTTTAGGTCGATTCAAATAATCTCCCTTGATCAACTAGCCCCGAGGCTTGTTAATGTAATTCTGTAGTTTGGTCATTAGGGTTAGTAATTCTAGAATTGCACAATTGCGGTCTGCGACATATTGTTCCGCTCGCAAGTTGATTTGATTCTAAACTTTGAAAATGAGCAAATTAATCTTTAATTTTTCATTATAATTACATAATCATTCCCTCAATACGAATATTGTCTAAATTAGTGCTAAATTGATATGGCGATCGTGTGTTGAATATTATAAAGTTAGATATTACTTGCCTAACTTGAACTTGGGTTCAAAATTTTTAAGCCAGGCATATTTTCATGATATTTACGTAACCATCTAGTGATAAGTTGAATGGTTTTCATCATTAGGGCCGCACATGCTATTACAATGAAAGCTTAGCTACCAACTTGCTCATTCTAAAAACGTTTAAAATTAACTTGCCAATGGAACAATAGATTAGGACCAATGGTGCATTTTGTTTCCCATGAAGTCGTGTTAGGAATGAAAACGAGCAAGGTAGAGACTCTTGAAAGGCGAGGTAGGGATTAAAATATCGTAACGTAAAAATATAAAAAAGATAGCCGAATGAGTTCCGGATAGGGATCATGTTTTTCCATCCTTGTATATTCGATTGGGCCTTAATAGGGCTACCTATGGGACTGGAGCCCTACATGTGTTAGTAAATGAGGAAAGGAAAAAAAATCATATTTCAGGTGTACTGTTTATACCAATTCAAAAGTGAGGTAAATAGTTTAAAAGTTCAAAATTTAGGTGTATATATAATTAATTAAAAATATTTATTAAATATAGATAATAAAGTCACAGTTACACGATTGATGGTCACATATTCATAATTACATATCATAGATTTATTTATTGGTCACATGTCATCAAATTAATTAGTCACAGATTATTTCGAAGTCATAAATCAAAATTTTTATAGGTCACGGTTTATATATCGATCACAGATTATCAAATTTTAAAGTCACAATTAAATAGTTGGTCACGAATAATCAAACAATTGGTCACATGTCAAATAGTCGATTACCACCAATTCCATTGCCACCACTGCCACTTGCAACCACTCTCACTATTGCCACCATCACAACAGCACCACTACCAACACCAACACCAACACCAACACCATGGCAACACCACAAACTAAATAAATAAATAAATAAAATCCCTGCCACCAGATCTACCTCCATCGCCACCACCAAACGCACCAAAAAATAAAAACCACCACCATTGCTACCTGAAACCACACTATCATCATAGCCACTACCTACATCACACCGCACCATAGCCGCTGCACCACAGCACATCCACTGCTTGCACTGCACCACAACACAAAAATGACACACACAAACACCACTACACAAACACCATCACATAAACCACCATCCAAAGACCAAAACAACCCCAACCATCAAATCCACCATACAATGTTGCTTTTTGCTTCAAATCACCATCCAAAACCACCCCAACCGCCAAGTCCACCATACAACGTTGCTTCTACTTCGCGCTGTTTGTGGTGCTTCGCCTGTGAAGAGTCGTCGAAGTAAGTGGGCGGATTTACTTTGCTGTGGCAACTCGCGATGATTCGCACAAACCCACTGTGGTGCGTTGTCAAGATCGCCGCAATGCTGCTTACGTGGTGGCGACGGTATGCTACACGATGTCATCAATTGATATGAAAATGGGTAAGGTGCTCCGACAGTGACGTAGCACAGGGAAAGAAAGAGATGGGGAAGATGGATAGTGAGTGTGAGAGAGAGAGAATAAAATTAGTGCTGGAATTGAATAGGGGGTGATATTTATTATATTCATACATGATTTTTGAATAATGAAACTTGGTCCCTTGTTTTTGAATCCTAATATTTAACACCTGGACTTATGTAATTTCAACACGAGGCAATTAAACATCTTTACCTAGTATTTGATATAATTTTAGGTATTAGGATTTAGTTTATCATTAATTTTATTTAAGATACGCTGTTAAAAATATAGTAAAATAAAAACACGTAAATCACTTCATTCATATTGAATAATCAATTATGAAGCTATATATGTGCCAACAAATATGCCAATTACCAAAATTTTATAAATCATAATTGATGGCATATGAACATACATTTCTACAAATTATGCGCATCTAGATGGATTACTGAGTTTTGAATAAGAAATTATTGAGTCGTAAAACAGAAAATTATGTGTTTCCGTAACAAGGGAACATTCAAACTGGATGGATTCGGGTTAAAAAAAAGAAAAAAAAAAGTGAGAGAATGATGATTATTTTTTCCCAAAAGCATGTGTTACAGTTTGGCCAATGAAACTTTTTCCAACTCTGAGATGATTTAGAAACAATAATAAATGACCAGCTTAATATTAGGGTAATTGAAATTAATTTCAGTTCCAAAAGAATATATGTAGTCTAAATTGGGTATATAGTATTTTTCAAAATATTAACTATATTTCGTAACAGTGTGGATACGAAAACTTCCATTAGTATGTACTAAGCCCCTATTTGGTCTCCATTAAATTAAATTACATTACATTACATTTCATTTTTATCTCTCTTATTTTCAATCACACAATCTTCCATAAAATAATATTATATTTAAACTGAAAAATTTTCTTTCTTTATTAATCACTCATTTTTTTTAAAAATGCTATTTTTTCTATTTTCATTTTCAAGTAATGGGAATCAAACAGGGGCTAAATAGTAACTGAGCCCACCAATAACATATGGGCTAGATGAGCCAGGAAGGGAAGCTCTAAACCTAAACCTATGTTTTGTGGCCTTTTAATATATATTGCACAATGGGCAATTAGGGTTTCTGCATTTCCGGGAGTAAACCAAGCGCTGCGAGCTCGCAAGTCGCAACAGTAACAAATGGTTCTCAAGTGAGTTCCTCTCTCCCTCTCTGTAATGAGATGCGTAATCCAATGCTTAATTAAGATATCTAGTGCATATTTCATGTACCGCATTTAAGGATAGGTTTTACTACTTTTTGCTTTTTTCTGCTGTTTAGTACTTTTGGATAGAAATGGTAGTGGCGTGGTTAGAAATTTCATGTCAAGGTTGAGTGTAAAATTATTAGATGGAGGAAACATTGGAAATTTAAGAGGTAGCACAGCAATTTTAAAAAGATGGATTGTTAATTTAGTATGATTAAATATTTATTGGGGGTTTAATAATTTAATGTGGCTAGAGAGTAGTATATGGTGTTTCAGTCTGGAATTATTTTGTTTTACTTTGAAAGTTAGAAGATGCTATCTAATGGATAAATATAGTACGCAAACGTCTTATTTTGACGTTGCTCTGTTGTATTTAATGTGTTTCAAAGAGTTCATGCGATGCCATTGATGATCCAGCACCTCATTTTGCTTGTGGTGCAATATATATATATATATATGCTGTCTTGTTTTGGATAAGTTTTGCTTTTACTCCATTTAGATTTTAATTTTAAAGTTAATTTACTTTTGTTTGACTCACCTGTTAATAATGGGTTATCAGGACAGAGCTTTGCCGATTTAGTGGTGCCAAGATATACCCAGGGAAGGGTATCAGATTTATTCGCTCCGACTCTCAGGTGGGTGAAGCCTTGTTGCTTGTATTATTGTATTTTTCTCACATGATTTTTTTTTTTTGCCCATTTTCTTTACCCCTAAAGTTTCAACTTTTTTTTTTTTTGGCAAATTGTGTGCATTTTATGTTTTCCTACTTTATTGATGTCATTTGTGAAGGGGCATATTTAGTTTCCACTTTTCACCCAAGATTCCTTTGTGTTATTTTTTGGGGAATGAAGATGTTTTTCCCCCCTTTTGAAGGTCTTCCTCTTTGCCAATTCAAAATGTAAGAGGTATTTTCACAACCGTCTGAGGCCTGCAAAGCTTACGTGGACTGCTGTGTACCGGAAACAACATAAGAAGGTGAAATGTAGTTGATAATCCCTTTTAATGATCTTTCTTTTGTTTCTTAGATGAATTGGGTCCCTTCATAATCTAGCTGTCGCTGATGGTTCTCGTGACTGATTTATAGGACATTGCTGCTGAAACTGTGAAGAAGAGGCGCCGAACCACTAAGAAGCCCTACTCTAGATCAATTGTTGGTGCAACCTTGGAAGTCATTCAAAAGAAAAGAACTGAAAAGCCAGAAGTTCGTGATGCTGCACGTGAAGCTGCTTTACGGTATGTTGAGGATTCGAATGTTTGATATTTAGTGGATGAGTATGCTTTCAGCAAGATGTAGAGCATGTTTGGCTGTGCTTATAAGTAAACTCTTTTGTAAAGCAAGGTAAGACTTGCTTTTTAGAAAAGTAAGTTTCATTAGTAAGAAAAATCAACTTTGAAGGTTTGACTTACTTTGAATAGAACATCGAACACCCTTTTAATAGAACACATTATGACTCTTAGTATTTATACTCAGTGAGATCAAGGAGAGAATAAAGAAGACCAAGGACGAGAAGAAGGCAAAAAAGGCAGAGTTGATGTCCAAGTCACAGAAGGTCTCCAAGAGCAATGTGCCCAAAGGTGCTATACCCAAGGGTCCTAAGCTTGGAGGTGGCGGCGGCAAGCGTTAATTTCCCTAGTATTTTAGATGCTGTTGCAACTTTATTATGAATGATATTGGAAGACTGATGACGTTCTTTTCCAATATTTTTTGTAAGTTTATTGGGTTTGGTCTTTTTTTTTTTTGGAGCATTATCCTGTAGACTTGTTTCAACATGGATTTTTTTGGAGAGAGAGCATATTTTTTTTAGATCTACCTACTAATGATCTGTAGAAACCTTAAAAATGATTCATTTGGTTAAGACTTTAGATTTATTGTCCTGTCTGATGGTAATCTTAGTCAAAGTAATTATTTATTAGGTTGGTTATCTCTATAAACTAAAGGCCGTTTTCCTAGTTATGTTACAAAGTGTTATTGTTTCAATTATTTGCCTTTTTGGTTCACTTTCAAGTAGTCTGGCCAGCATCTTGTTCCTTATTTTTGTTTTAGCTGATGGATTATCTAGTTTTGCTTTTGCTTTTTGTTGATGTGTTTGACGAAGTAACTTACCCCGTACAAGTTCAAAGCTACTTTTTATCACAAGTAGGATTTGACTTTACAAAAGTCACACTAAATGGGCACTTATTATTCTTAATTGAGCCTGTTTTGAGTGCAATGCCCGCCCATGACCATCTTTCGGTGTATGTAGGATCAAAACGATATGTATGTTTGTTGAGTCGAAACGAAATGTCCGGTCTTTATGTTAGTAGTAGCTTGACTCTACAAAAGTTGTACTAGATGACCCTTAGCATTCTTATGTCAATCCCGTTTGAGTGCAATTTCTATGACCATCTTTTGGTGTATGTTGAGTTGAAACAATGAGTCCGATTCACCAATGCACACTTGACTCATAGGTTTAATACTTAATCATTTTTGAGTCTCTTGAAAAACTAAGCTCTTTAACAAAAATAGTTCTCGTTAGACTCATACCTCGTGTTATTTTATTTTATTTTTTGTATAGGAAAGTACATTTGATACTAACAAAGATCGGCTCAAAATTTGTCTGTCAATACATCCATAAGTCGTGTTACAAGGATAGCATTCCGTGTGAGACAAACGGAGATTAAGATTTACTAACCTTGTCAAATTGCCATGGTTAATTGTTCCAATTGTTGTCTCTATTTAAGGACCCGGCTTTGGTCCATTTCTAATCTAACCAAAAAAGGCAAAATGTGGCCAATTTTTCATCACCACCGCTTGTAGGATCTTAACAATCTTGATATTCATTTAATCTTTTTCTTATCTTATTTTTATTATTATTAATAATTTTTTTTGTATATTATTTAGCACTTTGGCCTACACCAACTGCTCCATTACAATTAATAAAATGAGTGACAGATTCATTAAAAGATGTGTTATTTGACATTGAGCAATGGTGAAATATTTTATTATACATGTCAAGATCTATTCAATGATTCATTATGAGATGTATCTTTTGTATTAATTTCAAGACCATATAAATATTAAGGTTTATTATTAACGTTATATAACAAGTGGGTTCTCAATACATGACATGTATGTCGATTAGTGGTGAAAATGCAACAGCCAGCATAAGTAGATCGATCTTGGGATGATCACTTCAGACTGAGAATCATCTCTCAATGGATGACATATTTTGCCAAACATGATCTACAATGTCTATAAATCGTGAACTTTTAAATTCAATCAATACTGACATGGAATAATTAATTGACAATAATAGTTGCTCAATGAATTGTGGCATATCCTTGGTAGCCCTTCAACTCACTCACCGCAAGCGTTTATTGTTGGGTAAAATCTCGAGTTGACCGATGATATAATTGTAGCCCTTTCATTTTCAAAATTCAAATTTCAGAAATATTGCCACTGATGAACTGACCAACACAAACGGCAAGCATATACGGCTCATAAACTTTAGGAAAGGGATTTTAATAGGAGCCAGTATTTGCACATCACAATGTCCTATCACATTCCCATGGTGAAAATATAGGGCACCATTGAATAAAAGGACAATAATATGTTGACAATAAGGGTGTGTTTGTCACCCATTATTTGGAAAGAATGTATTATGGAATAGTGATTGATTTTGAAATGTGTGGTTAAAAAAGAAGGAAAAGTTTTTTTTTTTAATTTACGTACAATATTTTTGTAATGAAAAATGTGTGGTTAAAGATGAGTACTATAGAAAAAAGAATCGAATGAGAGAGAATGGATGACAAACAGGGGCTAAGGCAGCATAGCCGGACTGTCGAGGCCCCGACCGGACCCACATGCCAGCATTTAATATCCTTGTATTCTTTCAAGAATATCGGAAACATAACTTTGTTTCAACTACGTAAATTTATATACTGATGAAAATCAATCAAAAACCGGCTCTTGGAGAGCCATTTCTTTCGATTACATTAGCAAATTCATGCTTGCACAATTCTTAACAAGCCGGAGAACTTATATTCTAAATTAACTGAATACCTTTGTTACAGTTGAATTTAAGAGAGAAAATAAGACAATACAAAGAGAAGAGAATTGTATTGAATATTGTGATTTGTTTACAAGAGAGGTATCCTATTTATAGCCTAATTGGAGGGGAATGTTTTCATTTCTAACCAATGTGGGACTAACTAACATTTACCTTGTATATACATTAATAGCCCCCTCAAACTCAAGGTGGTAAAATGGAGACCAACTTGAGTTTGGAAACTAAGTCCTCAAGGCGTCCAGGAGGGTGCGTTTTAGTGAAAATATCAGCAGTTTGATTGGCTGAAGAAATTGATAATAGTCCAATACTCCAACGGGCGAGATGATGACGTATAAAGTGACAATCAATTTCAATGTGTTTTGTTCGTTCATGGAATACATCATTGTGAGCAATTTGGATAGCACTTTGATTATCGCAGTTTATGATAGTGGCAGTAGAATGGGTGACGCCCATGTCTTCAAGTGACCAGTGAAGCCAAAGAAGTTCCTGAGTTCTATCAGCAAGGGCTCGATACTCAGCTTCTATACTGGATCGAGCGATTACTGTTTGTTTCTTGTTGCCCCAAGAAATAAGAGAATCACCAAGGAAGAAGCAATACCCAGAGGTAGATCTACAATTAGTGGGGTTACTTGCCCAATCTGCATCTGAGTAGGCACGAAGCTCGAGTGAAGAGTGAGATAAGAAGTGGAGACCATGAAATAGGCCTTTGATGTACTTGAGAATGCGAAGCACTACAGCATAATGGGATGTGCGAGGAGCAGAGAGAAATTGAATGACAATATGGACATCATAAGAGATGTCAGGGCGAGTAACTGTAAGATAAACAAGACAAGCAACCAACTGGCGAAACAAGGTGGGGTCATCCAAAGGTGTACCATCCATGGGAATGAGTTTATTGTTGAGCTCTAGAGGAGTGGTACATGTCTTATTATCTGTGAGTCCCGCTCGAGTAAGAAGATCAGAAGCATACTTTGCTTGCGAAAGATAATATCCCTCAGAGTTAGAAGTGATCTGAAGTCCCAAAAACTAAGCTTTCCAAGATCTTTCATTTCGACATGTTGGCTGAGATAAGTCTTGAGATCCAAAATTTCGGATGTGTTATTACTAGTGATGATCATGTCATCAACATAGAGGAGAAGAAGGATAGTACCCCGGTCTGTTTTGCGAATGAAAAGAGCAGAATCATGTGAGCTGGAAGTGAACCCAAAATCTCCAACAATGGTGCTGAAGTTGGCAAACCAAGCTCGAGGAGCTTGCTTGAGACCATAAAGAGCCCGACGAAGTATGTAGACTTGATGCGGAAGATGATGAGAACTAGGAGGAGGGCACATATAAACTTCTTCAGTAAGTTCACCATTAATAAAAGCATTTTTCACATCCATCTGAAATAATTCCCAATGACAGACGACGGCAACTGCAATTAAGTTGTGAATTGAAGTGAGGTGGGCAACTGGGGCAAAGGTCTCCTCATAGTCAATCCCATACTCCTAGGTAAACCCTTTAGCTGCCAAGCGAGCTTTTTATTGATCAATGGACCCATCAGAGTGAGTTTTGATCTTGTAAACCCACTTGCATCCCATGGCATGTTTGCCTTTTGGTAGGTCTACTAGATCCCAAGTGTGAGTGTTTTCGAGTGCCAATAGTTCATCATTCATTGCTTTCTGCTAAAGAGGATCAGAACTAGCTTCACGATAAGATTGAGGTTCATGGTGAGAAAGAATAGTAGAAAATACAACAAAGTCACAAAGATTAACAGAAGGAGTTTTTACCCGATCACTTCGTCGAGTAGGGAGATCAGAAGTTGTTGGAACGGATCCATCAGAAGATACAAGTTCCTCAGAAGAGGACAAGGTGGATAACTCAATTGAGGTATTTGTAGACATGTTAGTTGGTAATGACATATCTGAGAAAGAGATAGGATGTGTTGGAGGAGATGTTGACTCAGAAGAAGAGTTTGTCTCAGGAGTGTCAGGAAAAAGATCTGTGGAGAGGTCAGTGAATAAGATAGAGATATTGTTATGTGACAGGTGAAACTTGGATATGGAGGCGAACATCTTATGTTCCCAAAAAACGACATGACAAGATACTTGGAGACGTTTGGAGTAAGGATCCCAACATCTGTAGCCTTTGTGTTCAACACCATATCCTAAGAAGCAATATAGTCGAGATCTAGATTCCAATTTGGTGCGCTGATGCGGCTGAAGAACAAAACAAGCACAACCGAATACCTTAAGAGTGTTATAGTCAGGAGGGTGACCATAAAGACGCTCAAATGGTGATTGATTCCTAATGATGGGAGAAGGCACGCGGTTCTTAGAGTAAACAGCTGTAAGAGCAGCTTCACCCCAATAGCGTTCAGGACACGAAGCAGATATGAGAAGAGCACGGACGGTATTGAGAATGTTTCGGTGTTTGCACTTAGCACGCCCATTTTGTTGAGAAGTGTCTGGACATGAATGATGAGGAAGAGTGCCATGTTGGCGAAGAAAGGTAATGGCTCTAGAGCCTGTGTATTCAGCAGCATTGTCAGCACGAAACACTTTGATATTGCAAGAAAATTGAGTTTTGACCATGGTAGCAAAATCAAGGTACAATTGAGATAATTCAGATCGATTACGCATAAGACATATCCAAGTGTAATGAGATTAATCATCAATAAAAATTACAAAATAGCTAGAGCCTCCCATAGTAGCAGTGGGAGATGGGCCCCAAACATCAGAGTGAATCAAATCAAATGGTTCCTTGTTAATAAGGAATCACTTTTGTGAAATGGCAATGCCGATTGTTTTGCAAGTTGACAAGAAAGACAATCATATTGTTCATTAT